CTTCATTCATCCATATTTTCATCGGCTTATTTGCAGCTGATTTTAAATCACACTATAATTTATTGTTTACATTTACATGCACTATGTGAATCTTTTTTGCGACATGACAGTGGCCGATTATGAGTTCACGGAGGTTGTCTGGTGTGTAGTTGATTGTTATCGATCAAAGCTGAGATTAAAGTGGTTATTTTTAGAATATTTGGATGCAACCGAATGTGTTGGCAATAATGCAGGAATACTACTCACAACTTTCGATGAATAACGCTGTTTCATTTCTTGGCAGTGTTGCGAATAAAGCGGTTACACAGTCCACCAGTGGAAGTGCTTTCAATGCGGTCTCTAAGCCAAAAAGGTGAACTTTTTTTGGATAGCTAAAATTAATTTTTTTTGCAGATAGCGAATTCGTGATGTTTAATGTGTGTCCGTTCATTTAACAATAAAAATATTCGTTTAACACATACATCAGGGTAAGCAACACCGGGTCTTTTTTGGTGTTTATGTGGTTCAAATTAAGAGCGTTATATGTATATAAGGAGAAACGAGCGCTTCAGTCGGATTTGAAAAATCCTAACTATTTTTCATTAGCCGGGATCGTTTTTGGAATAATCTGGGATAATCTTGGGTCCCTCAGCTTTTGAAATATAGAAGCGTCAATGTATTATTGTTGAAGAACGTTTCATCTATAGGATTATTTCTTTGTCTTATAGTCCCGAGGGTACAGCTTCGTTAAGTCAACTATCGTCGGCATCTAATCAGTTCGCCGCCGGTGTAATAAAAGGCGATCCGGCCGTATCCTCTCAAGCTTCAACCGCTATTAGTACGGATACAGCAGCTGCAGCTGCAGCAGCCAAATCTTCCGTATGGAGTGCGGTTAATGGCTCTTCATCGGTCACAACGAGTCGACGGAGATCAGCGACCAATGGTACCGCAGGTAACGACAAGAACACGGTGACTAATCCAGCGGATGTTTCTTCTACATCCTCGCTAGGCGCTAGCCTGGCAACAGCAGCTCCGCAGTGTAAAGTGGCTAAGATGGAGACACAGCCCACAGATGATAATAGGTATTTTATTATAACTGATCAGATTGAAGTCAGTTTTCTGCAAATCCTTGAATATCAGTCCTCAGTATCAATATTTTCATCACATCATTAACAATTAATTGAATAGTTATCAGTCCTCCCTTCGAATTTTTTGTGAATGCTTCAATGAGAACACATTCGAAATCGTCAGTGTATGAAAAAAATGGTAAGAAAAATTGCGAGTGTATGAAAAAACAACAGCTGTTTAGCGTATAATCAGGAAGAAATTTTTTTTGCGGGCTATCGCATCGCATCATCAGTTACTTTTTTCGAATTTCCGTTTCCGCAACATCGTAAACATCATTAATATCTCGATTCTTACGTCAATTGCTAGCAGATGC